CTGCGCCGTGTGTGGCATTCCCAATCTATAAAAAAACACACACACAAGCATATTCCTACCAATTTCACGCACTGCTACCAAGCTCATACTTGCAATGGGGATCGGGGTTGTGCAGCCGATGAAAAAAAAAATGGAGCATTTGATATTCTCCAATCAAGCTTGTACAAAATCAAGCAAAGCTTCAGGGGTATTGTAAAAAAAACAAAAACAAAAAAACAAAAAAAATCACTTGTGAGCAAAAGGATTGATGATCATTTAAGAACTCACCTTCATGACCTCAAGCTACTAGCAAGGAGATTGGATTTCTATGTTGGACTTGAAGCCAATACAAATCGCAAAACAATCAACCTAGCAAAGAGAAAAGGACAAACCTGCAAAACAATTTTGTCAGCATCCGGGAAATCCACACTGTAAAGTTAATTTCCTTAATGTCACGGGATGACAAATTGGCTATTTTTTTAGATGAAAAAGCAAAGGCACTCGCCGTATAGACGTGGGTTCAAAAAAAATAAAGCATATGACAGAGATGGTGCCATACTTTTATCCTCTTCTGACCTTACCCAAGCATTGTCTATAGGCTTTTCACTCAATCAAGGTTTTAGGGTTTAGGGTTTATGGCTTGTCAAACAAGGCTATTTGAGGTTTGTCAATCGAGGGTATGTGAGGCTTGGTGTGCCATGGCATGGTACCATATTAAAGTCAACTGAGGCTATGTGAGGCATGCCTTGCTTTAGGCCATATTCAATTCAAGTAAGGCTATTTGAGCCTTGTGCTTCCATTGCATGCCATGACTTGGTATATTCAAGGCAAGCGAGGCTATTTGAGGCATGTCGGGTGAGGCTATATGAGGCTCGGCGTGCCGTACAACAAGGGATCTCTACTTTCAGTAAGAAGAGAAAATACTCCAAGGATATGATTAATCAAATCTCTGCGCAGAGTAATATATAAGATTTGAAAGAAGAGGTCTTCAAATGTTATTAGGATAATCATATAAAGGAATAATTCACATTAGGATATAAGACATTGGATTCTATTATCTAATAATGTGAATAAGGAGTATTGTATAAGAGAAAGATTCAATTGCACAATCATTTCCAATTTGAATAGGTTCTCCCATACACCCTATTTAGCTCGGATAACCATGACATGCTGTTGGGCTTCAACCATGGTTTGTGGAAGTCCTGAAAGGTTCAATCATAATTGACCTTCATTAACAGGAAGAATTTAATGGTGGAATGTAATTCACAAGTCAACTCAGAGAAGTTGAGTCTACCCACTAGCTTGCTGAAAGGAACCTATGGATCTCACACCGAGAAATGAGATCAGAAGAACAAATGAAGAGAAAAGAAACTAAGAGTCAAAAGTCAAAGGCCGAAAGTCAAAGGTCATAGAAAACATGTTTGACCGAAATAATTCACCGAGTCAAATAGTAAGACTATAAGTGTAACTTAATGGTTAAGTTTTAATTCATAATTCAAAGTTAATTATGAAATTAACTTTGACATAAAGAATTGGATTCAGCTTTAAATATGATTTAAAAGAAGAATGACAAAATATCCAAAAGCCAATTGGGCACATGGATAAGTGTTGTATGACAACACAAATCTAAAGGACTCAAGTGAGGCCCATCTTCCCATTTGGCCAAAATTTGGTGAGAGAAATTATCTCTCTCCCTTTATATGTTTTTTTCCGATAAAAGCCAAACTTGACTCAAAACCTAGTTAGGATTTTTGGCATTTCAACTTGGAGTTCTTGATGTGTAGGAGAGACAACCTCCCTCTCATATTTCTTAGCCAAAAATCGGACCAACTAAGAGGTAGTCTAGCATCTCAAGCCTCTTGGTTGATCTTCTCTTCATCTCTTGTCCATTTTGGTGTGGTGAGGTAAAGGTCTTCTGCTTTGGAGCCTCTTGGTTGAGCAATCTACATTCTAAGAGGTGATTGAAGGCCTTTCCAACAAGTTTATCATTCTTGGTTCTCCAAGAAAAGTCTACAACGGTAAAAGCTTAACATTTTTTCTCTATTTTGTGCTCAAAGAGACTAGATCATAAGATGCTTGAGTTAAAATGAAAAAGGCTTAGCTCAACTAGAATAAGCATAATTTATCCGTCATTATGAATGTTTATGTGTTATATGTTGTGGCTAAATTCATTCCAAGTCATGATATGCAAAATGTTTCCTTCAAATGATCCCATCTATCACTATCATCATATATATATACTAGTGCTTTAGTTCCTACTTGTGCTCTAGTTAGTCCTTCTTTTCCAATCATTATGGTTCCTATATGGATCTACCTATAATATAACTACCTAAATTGTTCTATTGTTGCTTGGCATAATAGATTAAGAGTAACTTCTTTATCTATACAACGTACTTCATCCTAGCTTATGCTGCTTACTACGCTATTTTTATTTTCAAATCTACCTAGCTGATACAAGCTGATCCTATTTTTCTGTGTTCTTTCAAAATCTTTCCTAAGGAATTCTTGTGCTTCTATTTCACTTAAATAAATATCTTCTGCTCTAACTACTATATTTCCTTTTCTTTTAAATAAATCCATTTGCTATTATCAAAGGATTAATCTTAGTTTTTCTAAGTTTAATATTAGTTGTACCTATGGCGTAGACTTGGTGTAGTGTATGGAACACTTGTAGGAACACTGCAACTTCAGCAATTACAGGCTATATAGCAGTTGGAACTCAGAGACCGGTGAAGTCAGGGACTTCTACCAAATTACTATAGAGAGACACATTGTTTGGAAACAAGATAACTGTTAAAAATTGGCCCAAATTGTATTGATTAATTAATTGTGCAAGGGCCACTTTATTGTTGTTTGCTAGCTTTCTTCATTTGTCATGCCGTGGCTTTTCAAATGGGAAATGATGGCACATGCCATCTTTGTTGAAAGGCTAGAGACAAAGAGATGAAGTGGGAGCCAACACTTGAGTGATTTGCACCTAAAGCAATTGGAGTGCAGCAACTCACGTGGGCATGCTATTAAAGGGATGGTCTTTTGTCAAATAGAGGAAACAAGGAGCATGGCTCGAGGCATCTTTATGGGCTGCTAATGGTGCATGTCTCAAGGCTTTTTTGACTGACCATCACGTGGCTCCCTTGGCATGCAGTTGCTCTCATTTGGAGAGTTGCTGCATGGGTTTATAAAAGGGAGAAATGGAGCATGCAATAGAGCGGGGGGTGTGGGCAGTGTGCCTCACCATCTTGGAGGTGCCGTTTGCACCATGTGTGAGAGAGAGAGAGAGATAAAGGAGCTGCTGCTCCTCTTTGTTGTGGCTGCACATTTGAAGACAGTTTCCTTGTCTGATCAGTGAGAGAAAAATCCATTTCTCTACTGGTCTTTGGGTGTGGCACTATTTGTTCTCTTTTTTTGGTATCGATGTGTGAGTGACTTGGGTGTATTTGGGATTTAGGTTGTGAGAGTTAAACTCTGTAATTCCTAGGATAGGTGAGAGGGTTAATCTCCTTTGGTTGTAATCTCTTTTGGAATACTAGTGGAATTTCTTGCTGTCTTCGAACTGGATGTAGGCTACACACGGGCCGAACCAGTATAAATCCTTGTGTCGTTTGGATTTCTGTATTTCATATTTTGCTCTTGTTGTTTCAACGGTTTCATATCCACCATCCATGTGCAATCCGCTTCCGCTGCGCATAACAATAACATGATCAAGATTATCTAGGTTCAATATGCTAAGCTACTGTTTCACTATTCTGGAGATGAAGCCTTGTTAGGGACTTATATAGAAAAAGGAAATGGAACTTCTACCTGATAAATGCTTATGCTTACTGGACTTAGAACTTCAAACTAGAAAATAAGTATGAACATGAAAGTTGGAGAGTATTGAACAAAGAGGGAATTTTTATTAAGCTTGAAAGGCACTGAGTTTGTATTCTCAGACGTGCTTACATAATGCATGATTTTACATATGTATAGGCTAGAGAGGACACTAAGATTACATGAAATTCCCTTCTAAAAGTATTACCTACAAGGGCACAAATGGAAAATTATATAGGAATCTAAATTATTGAACTGCTGACACTAAATCACAAAATCCTTGTTGTACTGGTCGAAAGTGCTATAGGAAGAGGCCATTGCTGTTGTGCTAGGAAGGAAATACTTATGTTTTCTTCTTGCTGTCGTCTTCTGTTTTTCATTTTTGCCCTTCTAACAAAAACTTATCAACCAAAATCTTCAAAATATGCGGCTATGCTTCTAGTCCTCAAATGAGGCCCTTATTATAGAATTCTCGATAACAACAATGTACACAATTTATTTGAGCACATTCTAGGGTCCAAATAACTTTAAAACAATACCAAAGTGCTAGAATACGTAATCACACTTTTTTAGGTGAGCACCCTTTTAACACTCCAATTTTGTATATCGCTCTCTCCTCTGTTTCAAGTTTCAATAATAGCAAAGAAGTGTCCCGTACTATTGTTATTGCGGTACCGGGGGTAAAACATTTTTAGAATTTTGGTCAATTTTTAGTGAGCCAAGTTTAAGTTTTTTGTAATCAATTTGCTTAATTTGTGATTATTTGCTTTGTAAGGACCCCTTTTGTGCTTTATTTCTTGTATTTGGCTCTTTGTGGTGAAACAAAATTTGATGGTTTATCAAATAAAGCATAACATCTTTTCCAAGTTGTTTTTTCCTCCAAATGTCTTTATTGGCTCTCCAAGAAAAATGTACTTAAGACTTCAAATTGTCAGGAGTAACCAAATTACACAAATATGGGGTTCAAATAGAAACACCTCTTGTCCTTTAGATTACACAAATGTGGGGTTCAAATAGAAACACTTTTTCCAACCGAAAAGAAATAGAAACACTTTTTTTTTACTCAGATATCATTTTAGGTAAAGAAAATTTTAAAACACACGGGAAAAGTTGCTTTTGAACGTCCCGGGAAAAGTTGCTTCTTGTGGTATCGGGGCAAAATATGATTGGGTGGGGAGAAAAACCTCATCATCCTCGCGTTAAAAACGTTAGCTGGGCTCCAGTCCGCACAATTTCAATGGTTTTCCTGTTGCATCAACACACTAGCAGCAGCAGCTTTCACCTTTCTCTCACTCACTCCCTTACTCTCTTTCGATGTCTACCTTCTCAGCCACACCCAACAATACCTCTCTTCTGAACCACCACAATTCATTATTCTATTTTCCAAGTTGCCTGCCTTCACTTTCAAACATTCAGGGAAGCCATCCCAAAACTGCACCTGTTGCTTTCAATGGCGTCAGGTTACAACATAAGCGGGTTAATGTCCAAAAAACAGTTCCTGGGGTGCTGAATTCCAGGTTCTTGCAAATGGGCTCTGAGGAAAGCTCCTCTAGTAGACATTTTTTAGTGAAATCAACTGGTGCAGAGAGTGCTGGCGGTTCCTCTGTGTCTCAAAGTGTGAGTAAATGAATGTTTGGACATTTAAATTTCTTGGGTTTATGTATTTTGTGTTATTTCAATGATTTTTTTGTCAAAAGTTCTTAGCTTTAGTTTGATGCACTGCAGGTGCTTGGGATTTTGCATCTGATTGTTTCAGTTGGTATTATTCTTGCAATGGACAAATTTTTGAAGCAAGCATTTGTGGCGGCTTCCATTAAGTTCCCCAGTGCGCTTTTTGGGATGTTTTGTATATTCTCCATTCTAATTATTCTTGATTCCACTGTTCCTGCTGTGGCAACAAGCTTGATGAACTTCTTTGAGCCGGCACTACTGTTCATCCAGAGATGGCTGCCATTGTTCTATGTTCCTTCTTTGGTTGTTTTGCCACTTTCTGTAAAAAGTATTCCCGCTGCTTCCGGCATCAAGATCTGCTTCATTATAGGTACGCAAGTTTTTGCTACTCTAACATAACTTTCTCTGGTGAAGCTATAGATTATTTAGTTTGTTTTGGTTATCACTGGGAATGACTAACTTTTTTGGCCTATACCATCCTAATGAAGCATGCCAAAAAAAAAAAACGCTTAAACTGTTATCTTTGTTGTTTTGGGGAAAATCTTAAAGTCGTTATTCATTTTTCACAATCTAGAAACTGTCTTTCTTGAATACTTTAAGAATTAGAGAGTGGTGTCTTCGGATGACAACCATAACTTTCTCTGAGCAAATAATTATGTAGTAGGAGCAGTTACCTCTCTCGCTCTCCCTTCTGGTGTACATGTGCATAATTCTGACATATATAAGATTAATGCTACTTACCTTGTATTGCTTATTTTCTGTAAATAGACTTGAGAAAGTCTACCTCCTGTACATGATATATACGGCTGTAATACAGAGACCAAAATCATCTTGGTCAGTTCAATTGCTCTATACTTCTATCTCTCATCTTCCTTCTTCCTTCTTCCTTCTTGAGTCTGTTTTCTTATATGGTATCAGAGCTCTTCGGAGCCAAAGCTCAAGAATTTCGATCCTACCCAATCAAATGGCAAACACACCCAAATTTATAGAATCAAGTAATATTGATATGACAAGGCTGATTTCTGAAATGTCAAAACTTGCCTCACCTTCATTCTCATCCCTTTCCTTGCCCACCTCATTCAACATCTCATCTCTATTTCCAATTCCTATGGACAGAACCAACTACTTGAGTTGGAAATCTCAATTTGAAGATGTATTGGAGATGCATGGCCATGCAGAGGTCATCAAGAAAACCACAGATCCACCCAAAGTGCAAGAAGATGGTTCTGTGCATCCTGAATTAGCCAGGGATAAACTGGTCCTGAGTTGGATTAAGGCGACTTCCTCTCCTTCCATCAAGACTCTTCTCATCCCGTGTACCACCGCTCATCAAGCTTGGAACCTGTTGGGCAAGCATCTCTCACCTCTTGTTAGTACCCGTGTGTGGATTCTTCGAGATCAAATTCACACCCTCAGAAAGGATAACAACACAACAGTGACTGATTATCTCAACCATGTCAAATCACTCCTTGGTTCCCTCACACAAGCTGGTGCAACAATGGATGATGATGAATTCGTCAGTTATGTTCTGGATGGACTTGGGCTTGCATACAAGGAGTTAGCCACCACACTTCACTTGCATCCAGATATTGGTTTCAACCAATTTTATGACCTTGCTTTACAAGAAGAACACTTATAGAAACGCATGCCACATACTGTGGCTTCGGGTGCTGCTATGGCTAACGAGTGTAATCCAAATTCAAATTCTATTGGTCACAATCACAACCACTATTACAGCTCTGGAAGAGGTCGTGGGTGTGGCAGAAATTGGCATCAAGGGCATAGTGGGCGAGGACAAGGGCGAACAGATCAGTGGGTTTCGAACCAAGGCGATTGGCCTTACAAACATGGTGATCAATCTGCACTAATAGCATCCTCTCACGCAACTCTGACTGATGGACGCCCACCGCTTCTTCCAACGCCACCTAGCAATTCTCCAAATCCCCAACGACCAGAGGTAATATGCTTTAGATGTGATAGGCCCGGCCACATAGCCCGTTTCTATCCAAACCGTAGGCCTCTTGCATACACGGCAGAAAATACAGCAAACCAATCTCCTTCTACTATTGATGTGGCAAATCTTAATTGGTGCCTTGACTTTGTCGCTACTCATCACATGACAGCCAATACAGCCTCTCCTTCTTTGAGTTGGATGCTAATGGTTTTCATGTAAAGGACATCAAGACGGGGACAGTACTCCTTATTGGCAGTAGTTCCGATGGCCTTTATCACATTCAGGCAGCCCCACACATTGCTCATTAGTTTGCATTCTATGGAGAGCACACGACACAGGACGTGTGGCATGCATGACTTGGACACCCATCTCATTCAGTCTTTACTACCTTGTTGAATAAGTACCATTTACCCATTGATGGTACAATTATATCGAATAAAAATTGCCATATTTGCCCATTGGGAAAATCTTGTCGACTGCCCTTTGAATACAGAAAGCTTCATGCTCAATTTCCATTATGACTTTTACATTTTGACTTATGGGGCCCTGCACCGGTTTCCTCAAATTTTGGATATCGTTATTATTTGTCCATTGTTGATGATAACACTCGGTTCACTTGGTTATTTCCCTTGGCTAAGAAATCAAATGTTGTTCCTACATTTATTACATTAAAAAAGATAGTTGAAAATCATTTTAGTTCCATAATCAAGCAGTTTCACATTGATGGTGGTGGTGAATTTACTAGCAAATTATTCCTTGCATTTTTAAGTGATCAAGGCATGTTGCATCAAATTTCCTGTCCATACACTCCCCAACAAAATGGAGTGGTGAAAAGGAAGCATCGACATATTGTTGCAATAGGGCTCTGCCTGCTAGCCCAATCCCGGTGCCTCTTAGCTTTTGGGTTGAAGCCTTCTCCACTGCAATTTTTCTGATCAATCGCTTGCCAACACCTTAGCTTCATAACATGTCTCCTTATGAGAAGCTCCTTCACCGTCTGCTGGATTATAAATTTCTCAAAAGCTTTAGATGTGCCTGCTTTCCTCACATGGTGCCATACAACAAGCCTAACTTATCCTTCTATTCCATGTGTGTTTCTTGGTTATGATGATCATTATAAGGGTTATCGTTGTCTTGATCCTTTTTCTGGTCGCATTTATATATCTCGGAACGTGACTTTTGATGAGACAAGGTTTCCTTATAAGCAGCCCCAAATTACCTCTCCTTTGCACTCAACTGGGCTTCAATCTCTCTCCTGCCGACCAACCCATACCTGTTGGACTCCCTGATATCATGACCAGCCCTTATCCCTCACCCACTCTCATTCCAGATTCTACCCAACTTAACTCCACCATAGGCCCATCACTCTATACTATCACCATAGGCCCAGCCTTTCCTTCTCCATTAGAAACCCCACTTCCTGTGCCTCAATATCCTTCCGCATCATCATCATCACAGGCCACGCATCAAGCCGATCCTTCCAGGGCACTCGACATCACAACCCCATCGCCACCACCTTCCGCCACCCCAACCTCATATTTCGACGGAAACCAATCCTCATATTTCGACGACACCACCTCATTCCCTACCTCGCCTCCCTCTTCTTCACCTATTGACCCCTTCATTTTTCCCAATTCTCTTGATACCCTAAATCCTCCCAAAAACTTCAAAAGTCTCCACTCCATCATCTCGTTCGGTCTATAAACAAAACCCATCTACTCTAAGATCAGCCCTCATTGTAACATCCCACATCGACCAACGAAGAATGAGTGATGTGCCTTATATGTACATACCCGCCTCCATCTAGCACGAGGCCTTTTGGGAGCTCACTGGCTTCGGATTCATGGGAACTCCGAAGTTAAGTGAGTTGGGGCTAGAGCAATCCCAGGATGGGTGACCCACTGAGAAGTTGTTCGTGAATTCCTTGAAACAAAACCGTGAGGGCAGAGAGGGGGCCCAAAGCGGACAATATCGTGCTACGGCGGAGCCGATCCGGGACATGACACTCATCCCTTACTCCATGCTCTTTCTACTAAGGTTTCTGATCCCATGACCATTGAACCCACAAGCTTCACCCATGCCTCCAAACGCAGCCATTGGCGAGATGCAATGCAGGATGACTATTTTGCACTCATGCAGCACCATACCTGGTCTTTAGTCCCTGCAACTTCACACATGAATATTGTGGGGTGCAAATGGGTCTTCAAAGTTAAATAGAATGCAGATGGCTCAGTTGATCGATACAAGGCTCGCCTTGTTGCTAAGGGATTCAATCAGAAAGTTGATTATGAAGAAACATTTAGTCCAATGGTCAAACTGGCTACCATTCGCACTATTTTATCTCTGGCTATTTCTTATAATTGGTCAATTCAGCAATTGGATGTTCGCAATGCTTTTCTGAATGGGTACTTGCAAGAAGTATACATGAAACAACCCCTTAGTTTTCATGATCACTCACGAGCTCAGTATGTTTGTCTGCTCCACAAGGATCTTTATGGCCTTAAGCAGGCACCATGGGCTTGGTTCCAATGTCTCAGTACCTTTCTTCTTGCTCAACAATTTGTTCACAGTCACTCTGATGCGTCGCTCTTCATTTGTCGCTCCTCTTCCTGCACGGTGTATGTTCTAGTATATGTGGATGATATAATTGTCATTGGCTCTCAACCACAAAGTGTCCACAATTTCATTGATCAGTTATGTTCGACCTTCGACAGCTGACGGATGGGTGAGCTCAATTTTTTCCTTGGAATGAAAATTAATTAGTTCTCTGACCATTTATTTCTTTCTCAGACACGCTATGCAATTGATTTATTGAAACGATTTAATTTAACTGAGTGCAAACCATGTCCCACACCATTGCACTCTGACACTCGGCTCTCTTGTCTAGATGGTGATCCCTTGCCTGATCCATCCACCTATCGAAGTATGGTGGGTGGCCTCCAGTATTTTACCTTGTCCAGGCCTGATATTTCCTTTGTTGTCAACCAAGTGTGCTAGTTTATGCACAACCCTCGCACTTCCCCCTTCAGGTTGTCAAGTGCATTTTTCAGTACATTAAAGGTACACTTGAGCAAGGTCTTATCTTTCATCAATCCAATGATTTTTCCTTATGGAGTTTCTCTGATGCTGATTGGGTTGGTTTCGTTGATGATCAACGATCCAGCACTGGTGCTTGTATTTTCTTCGGTCCTAACCTCCTTACATGGACTGCCAAGAAACAGTCTACTGTCTCTCTCTCTAGTATTGAAGCTGAATATAGAGTTCTTGCCCATACTGCCGCCAAAATTCGATGGTTTGGTTACTTGTTTCATGAACTTGGCATTCCCCTTCGCTCTGCCCCATGCATCTATGTTGACAACCTTTCCGCACTCTACATGGCTGCCAATCCTATTTTCTGTGGGAGCAAATATTTTCGTCTCCAATTATGGCACTCCACGTGGCAAAGAAGAATATCCCTTAAATTAATTAGTTGAACCAATTTATTTGGTCAATTAATTAATAGGGATAATATCTTTATTTAATAAGATAATACTATTAATTTAGATATTATCCTAATAAGGAGATATAATCATCATCAAATTAGGAGATTTGGATCTCAATCATCATAATTTAGATATTATCCTAATAAGATAATACTCTACGAAACCTTAGCCTCCGAGGCTCCTATAAATAGATGGCTTCATTCATCATTCAAGGTACATCTAAACCTACTTAGAAAACCCGAGAAAACTCTCCATCTCTCTCTCCCTAGCCACAAGCGACACCACCACCGCCGCCGCCGACCACACATCTCTCCTCTCTCCATATATTACATACACGGCTCCGGCCACCACACACGGCTCCGGCCACCCGGTTCTCACCCTAGAGAAATCTCCATACCCTTTTTTAGCTATTGTTTCACCTACATTCAATCGAACTAACTTAGGCATCGGAGGGCGTTTGGCCAACACCCTCCAGGTGTGGTCTATTTACTCCGGTCTTTTTACAGGAATCGAGGAAGAGAGAGAAAGAAGATCAAAGGTTGAAGAATCACAAAGCGAATATTCTCGCACGAGGATTTTTGCACAAACATTTTCCATGCTCACACTCGACATATCGAGATTGACTATCACTTTGTGCTTGAATTAGTTGCTCGGAGAGCTCTTCGTACCTCCTATGTTCCCTCCTCACATCAGCTTGCTGACATATTTACTAAAGGTCTCAGTCGTGATCGGTTTTCTCTTCTTAAATCCAAGCTTAATCTCCGCGTTGCTCCATTATGATTGAGAGAGGGGAAAGAGAATACCACCACAGCTAATCCCATGAAATCAGTCAATTCCCCCGAATCAGTATTGACAGACTCGATATCACAAGATCAGCGGTATATTAGCTAAAGATTGATTTGTAATTTATTCTGACATATATAAGATTAATGCTACTTACCTTGTATTGCTTATTTTCTGTAAATAGACTTGAGAAAGTCTACCTCCTGTACATGATATATACGGCTGTAATACAAAGACCAAAATCATCTTGGTCAGTTCAATTGATCTATACTTCTATCTCTCATCTTCCTTCTTCCTTCTTGAGTCTGTTTTCTTATACATATAAGTGCATTGTGTGCATGGTTTTTTCTTCTTTTTTTCAAATCTGAACTTTTTTAGTACAATTACATAGTACTGCTTAATGGTTTTCTGCAGTTGGAGGCTGGCTGGCTTCACTTGCTGTTGCAGGATATACAGCAATAGCTGTTAGAAGAATGGTAAAGACAGAAATGACAGATGCTGAGCCTATGGGAAAACCCTCTCCATTTTCTGCGGTTGAAGTGTGGTCTTGGAGTGGGATCCTCCTGATATCATTTGTTTCTGCATTATTATATCCAACAGCCCTGGGGACAAGTGCTCGAACATGCCTTCCATTCCTACTTGCGTCAACTGTGTTGGGCTATATAGTTGGTTCTGGGTAAAACTTATTTTCCTCAATTTAGTTCTGCCTTCACAAGAATATTATTATGAAAACTAAACAAATATGTAGGCCAAATAAAGGTTTTCATTTTAATACAAGTTACTCAAATTCTCCAGCTATATTTTTTCCCTTTTGAAGGTCTCACTCATTTGTTGACTTCTAATTTTCAGATTGCCATCAGATGTGAAGAAGGTTTTCCACCCAATTATATGCTGTGCACTATCTGCAGAATTGGCAGCATTGGCTTTTGGATACTTCTCTAAGTCTGGGCTTGACTCTGTTCTTGGTACACTTCTGAAACCACATTCTTGGTTCTGGCTAGTACACTATGCCCCCTTTGATTGCTGAGCAATAAGATTAAAACAAAGGGCAGACTTTTAACAACTTGCAACAATCACCCAATGACAAATACTTCATAGATTCAAAGTTAGCTTTTCCATCTTATCTATTTTCTTCATTCATTTTCTTTTTGGATGTGGTCTCTTTCACCAGTCTATTAATTTCTGTTTTCTTTCTTTTTCTTTTTTCCTCCATAAATCTTATATAACTACAAAATGACCTGACATACCATCAAGGGGACTTGATGTACATCCTGTTATTAGATCAAGTTAAAGAATTACTGAAAATGGGTCATGAGGGAATCATTTTATGCTCTGTATCATGTTCATGAATATAATTATATTCTTAAAACAAAGATAGTTTTGATATAAACATTTGACTCACGTACAAAAAACAAGGACAGGTACTAAACAAACTTGTAGGACAGAAACTTAGATAATTCAAATGTCAGGAATCAGGATTATAAATTTTGAGTGTTTTCCTAAGTAATATGAAAGTCAGGAGTTTCTGCCACCCTGGTACGTTAGTAGAAGTCTGCATGTTTATTAGGTTTTCAAAATTTATGGTAGAACATAACAATGCTAAGCTAGTTTGTAACGAGGATATTTGGCCCAAAAATCCAATTTATCTCTATGATTCTTGAAACAAAAATTATAAAATGAAGATAATTCTTATAAAATTCTTTTTTTTGGACGAAAAATTCTTATAAAATTCAGGTCAAAACAATTTTTTGTTTTTGGTAACCACCTCCCAGCAGATTTTCTCATTCTCTCTCTTCATCCGTCTTTCTTAAAAATAAAAGAAAAATAGATGTTTAAATTCTCATATCACTCTTCATTGTCACCTCATGTTAGATATACTGTTAGTTTTTCATCATTCGATCTCAAAATTTTCCTCTAGTCTTGCTTCTCAAGATTTTTCTTTTGACATCTCTGTCGCCTACCTACCTATTTCTAGTACCACCCTACAATTGCGGACAACTAGAAAAATGAAAGCCAACCACCTCTGAACCAGATAAATTATCCTCTACTTCCAGCAAGAAGTATTATTTATAGGCTTACAAGATAAACTCAGAAAAATTAAAAGATGATTAATAAAAGTTCTACAAAATAAACCTGCAGAAACTTTTAAAAGACCGAAAATCAGATAAACCTAGAAAACAGAAAAGACGCGCATTTAATCCCTAACATGCATGTGGATTTATTGCCACTCTTAATGTTACTGAAGCCAGCCCTTAAGTGCCATTGATGTCAGTCAATATTTCTTTTCATCCCAATGCTCCATAGAGGTGCCCTGCATCAGGTTATCTGATTTTCTTACAACTAGTCTGTAATTTCATTGATCCAAGGAGAACCTATTGCTAGTTTCGTATTGCCTTTATAACAGATAGAAACTGTGTACCGACCATCCTGAAAGGTATTACTTGGGACTCTAAATTCTTCACCATTAGAAAGCAAATGGCTACAAGATTTAGAAACAAATGGCAGGGTGGAAGAATATATACTTGGATTATAATATACTAAGGAATTTCACGTCACAAAGATTTGAGGCTTCAACAACTTATAGAAAAACTTTAGATGTCGTATGACCACAGAACTAATCTATTAGGATGCATAATACATCAATAGCATCAGAATTAATTTTTTCAAGGCCCTTACAAGGAGAAAAAGGTTAGCATTGCAAGTGTGAGAATATATGATGGTCCAGGATACTCTTCTGGTTTTGTCTTAGTTTCTTACGTTCTTCATTTTAAAATTGGCAAGTCATTGATAAGAAAGAGCCTCTCTGCATTGCTTTAACTGAAATTCTGTTTGCAACTCTCTCCCCCCTTAAATAAGAACATAATATTTCGGATTTCTCAGTTTTATATGTGGATTTTCTTGCATAGGAATGAATATGTCGTTAGTCCAACTAAGCAATTTCCAATAAAAACTCCAATACAAATCCCTCATTTTTAATCTTTCCATCCAAATGGACCAGTAGTGCTTTTAGTATGTAGATCGTCATTCTTGATGATATGCACAGGATCTTACCTTACAAAGGTTTCATCTAATCCTGGAGCTGGTGATGTTCTGATGGGATTCTTGGGGTCTGTTATCCTCTCATTTGCCTTCTCAATGTTCAAACAGAGGAAGGTAAATAACATTTGAAGAGCCCAGGTTTTCCCATTTTGTGTCATCTTTAGTTTTTTATTTTTTATTCTATGGTGAGTTGAAAAGCATAATTGAGTAGGTGGACTGAATTTTATGGACTATCCATTGGAAATATATTTCTTCTGAAGAACATTGCGTTCCAACCTGTGGAGTAAATATAACTGGGAGATTATCACTCTTCAATGCTTTAACTAGGATAGTTCTTTCATCATATTTAATTACAATATTTCATGATAATCTTCTTTCTTTAATTGGTATTCTGAAATAGCTCATAGGGAATATAGCAAAAAGTTGAGAACTGATTGCAAAAGGCCTTAGAACAGCTTTATTTATTTAATTTTATTTTAAAGAGATATGGTTGTTCAAATCAAAGAATTTTGGTTTGCCTTTTATGCCTACATACTTCATTACAGTTTGAACCTGATTCAACTCTGTGCATTCACCCAATTGGTGTCATAATTTTCCCCCAAATTCTATTTGATGTTAAAACCAACTTATCTGTCACATTTTTTTAATACATATTACAACCATTTGATGGAGATTATTGCTGAACTACAAATTTTCAGCTCGTCAAGAGGCACGCAGCTGAGATTTTCACATCCGTCATCCTGTCAACCATATTCTCGTTGTATTCAACTGCTCTTGTTGGACGTCTTGTTGGGTTGGAACCGGGTTTGACTGTCTCAATTCTACCACGATGTATAACTGTGGCATTAGCACTCAGCATTGTGTCTTTGTTTGAAGGTACTAGTTCATACTTTGGAGTTGTAGACAAGCAAATTTCTCACCTGATAAACATGTGCTAAGTTTGGCATGAGTTTAAAAAATATTAGAATAATGAATTGGAGACTATTCCTGTCTCATCTTCCTCAACCTATTCCCCTCTTTTTTCTTTCTTTCAACACCCTACAACTAAGTAATACTTAGGAACAAATTATTGCACGCAGTACATATTTATCTTGTATCCTTGAAATACACTTATGCATGTACATCTCTATAATATTTATTTTTTACTTTTTGTAGGTACCAATCCATCCCTCACAGCCGCTGTGGTTGTAGTAACTGGTCTGGTTGGAGCTAATTTTGTGCAAGCAACACTTGATAAACTAAAATTCCGTGATCCTATAGCTCGAGGAATAGCTACTGCATCTAGGTATGCATCTCTGCTGAACCCTCTACCTGAAACGGTCAATTATAAATGCGAAAGTATAGTGGACCAAACTTTAAACAATTAAAAGGAATTCGTTAAAGCATCTGAATTATTGCAGGAAAATTTTGTGGTTAAAAGTTCTTTCTTAGATATATTAAATAATGAAGATTTTACCTTTGTGCCAGAAAACCTTTTTAATCCTATGATTTATTGTTATTTATACTCAAACATAGGTGCTATTGACAAGATTCAGAGCATTACTCATCACAATCAGTTTTGAAAACTATGATTCAATGAACTGTGTGTTTTGTTTTTGTTTTTTTGCTTTAGTGCTCATGGATTGGGAACAGCAGCATTGTCAGCCAAGGAACCCGAGGCTCTCCCATTTTGTGCCATTGCTTATGCCCTGAATGGTATATTTGGCTCTTTGCTTTGTTCAATTCCAGCAGTTAGGCAAAGCTTGCTTGCTGTAGTTGGATGAAATTATCAGCTGCTTAGTTGCTCTCACAATTAGCTACTGCTTCGAAATCACTGTATTTTGTTAACCGTATCCGTATACATGTACACAAGAAATTCTGCCCTTAGTATGTATATTCTTATTAAAAACACACTACGAAAAACATAGAATTTAAATCTAAACGTTCATTTTATTCTGAACTATAAAGAACAAAATTTATCGTGCACCTAACAACCTTGAATTTGATGTCTTGAGGAATTGAAGAAATTAACATAAACGAGTTTAGCAGGTTTCAAACAGATGACGAAGTGGAGAACATTTTGGGGCAATTTTATGTTTCCATTTCTCCCTATATAACTTGACTGCCAAGATTCAGGCCCGATTAAACAATGTATATTAAGCTAGACTTTTAATTTTTTTCATTAACATGGAAGGAGATTTCAGCTTGAGACCCCTTCCCAACATTGAGAAGAGAAATATTACTAGATCAAGAAGAAAAACTTACATTTCCCGGGGTGTCTATCCCTTTTCTATCTATCTCTATCCTCATATGAGGCGAGAGATAGAAAGAAATGGATATACACCCCATGATATGGGAGTGCTATAGACCATGAGCTAGTTGGTACGTGAAAGTGCTTTCTTTTCACAAGGGTCTAATCTTTGATTCTGAATTAGCGTGAGATGTTAATTTGATGAGGTAGAAGCCTCAATAGCCGAAGATAGAAGCGAAGTGTCATGCTAAGGTCAGTCCCTATAAATGAACTAGAACAGAAAACAGAAAAAGAAGCAAATACAGTAAAGGACAAAGGGGACCATCATAAATGTGGTTGCTTATATCAGGGATGAAATGGAATGCCATGCAGCATTGGGAAGTGATCAATGGATGTGAACCTCACAACTGAATTTTGTATTCTTCTCTTTTTTTAAAAAATTTGTTTCTCTATAATACAAATGTTCCATAGAATTACAACATGAAGATATTACAAAGTGTCATTGTTCTTGCTAGGAATAGCCTAACACTAACAGAAACACTAGAGAGAGAGAGAGAGAGAGAGAGAGAGAGAGAGAGAGAGTGGAAAAATGGAAAACTGAAAGAAGATAAGCTTTTCTAGAGTGGCCTGCGTTGCCTTAAAGTACGTAGACAGTAGATAGAAAGATAAGGCATAGTTTTAATTTAAGCTTTAGTTGCCTCTACTGGAGTTTTGGCCTTGCTTGCAATGAGCTGCTCAAAGAGGTCTCGGATCTTTAATCCAACTATGGTTTGGAAGAGACCAGTGCCGTTGCTGCTGCCGGGGAAGTCCGAAAGCTTCAACATTTGTTGGGTGACTTCTCCATAGAACTTGGTGGAGATGTTGCTCAGATGGCTTTCTACATAGATCAGCTCATCTAATCTGTCAAATTGCCCATCCATCTCCAACACAGACACCTAATAATATGACCATAACAAGCAAAACATTAAAAAGTAGGATACAAATATTGATACTGAGACACTAAATATTGAAGAAAAATTGTTACCAATAATAATTAGCAGTTTAGACTAGTAATTTACTTACTAAGAATAAGGGAAGTTATGAACTCGGGAATTAAGGAATTGAAGTCAGATCAACTACTCCCTCCTAGTTGATCCGATTCCGGATTTTGAGGGTATTGAATTTTATCATAGAACTCACAAATTTTTTGATTCCTTATATGTTAATAAACACATGGGAAGTCGAGAATTGGAATAATTTAAATTCCGTGTGTTAGTAAACACAGGAAAGCAACAATTCCAATACCCATTCCTGATAAGTAAACTGGAAATAAAATTAGTACCTCGTGGCCAAAGTAAGTGTCAGGGCCATAGGTGAACTTGATTCCAGGGTAAGAGCAGGTGAGCTTCCTTCCACATGGTATCCAGGAGATGGTGGAGCCCTCATCAAACAAGTAGACTGGGTTGAAAAATTTGACACCTTCTTTCATGATCAACCTCACTCTCAATACCTTCCCCTCATTATCCCCTGGAATCAATTGGGTTGGCAACACTTCAATCACTGCATCAGCATACTGCTTTTGTGGATCTGCAATTCAACCAAAAAATAACAAATTTAATTAATTAAATAAATTAGGATTAATTAATTTTTCTCACTTATTTAATTAAATAAAATCAAAGTTTAACTACGTTGGTGTACCAATATAAGCATCGAAATCAGGCTTCCGGGCTTCAATACTGGCTTTGATGCTCTCAAGACTATGACCACGCTCCGCCATGTCCCTCTGTTCAAATCCAATGGTTAATTTAATTGCATCACTCCAATTGAACACACGAAATTAAATTTATAATTAAATAGGGTTAAGGTTAAGATTAAGGCTAATCACCTGAATTTTCCATGCAAACTTGACCTCATTGCTGATGTCCAAGTAGATGCTGAAGTCCAACAGGTCCCTAACTCGCTGATCATACCTGGATAGCCAATTAATTTCAGACACCAAAAGTAAACATGTTCGAACGCACGAACTCGGATGTAAGTATAACTGTTCTAGACTTGAGCTACAAACCCCTTACCGCAAATTTGTATTTTTAAAGATTTGAAAGTGATGCCCAGTAGCTTGGAATTAATTAGTATGTACTATGTAGGTGTTTGCTTTGGTGGCATTAATGAATCATTGAACAATCAAAGGCAATAGTAAAATATATATAAATGAAGCCCACTTGTAAACTAATAACCCTCCACTTGTAAAAAAAAACGTTGTTTTTGTTTTTCTTCAAATGCTTTTATTTTTATTTATTAGTGGCTTTCGCCTTGGTTTTGAACCTTGGCTTATTGCCTCAGGTTTGACACAATTTGATCAGCATCAGCTTTTTTAATATTTAAATAGAAACCAAGCTCCACCAACAAAGAACCCTTGAAAACCATCCACCTTTACCAGCCTTCATGACTCTATCAGGTTTTATAAATAAATAAAAATAGAATTCTTCAAAAGCATTCTCATTTATATATATATATATATATATATATATATATATATATCAAAGTATTAATTTACACTGTTGAATAAGATTATCATCGTCAAAAGGTGTGGTTCAAATTCACGGTACGGCCAAATTCTCAGTATTTGTTCAGGGCCCATTCTTGGAGCAAATTAAAATAGTACCATACACACGTGTGTAAATAGGTAACGATAACATTTATATATATATATATATATATATGAAGAATTTTTATTCCGCAACATAAAAAAAAAAATTTGTCTGAAATCATCGTTCTCTAAATGTCTTTTTTTTTATTAAAAAAAAAAAGCAAAAATATAGAACAACATTTCAGGATTTCATGAATAAGTAGGAAAAAAGTGGATTGCATTATAATTTGTACCCAAAAATATATATATTATCAGTAAAAGTGAAAATTTATAACAAAGTGACATTGAGAAAAAAAAAAAATAATGTTGGAGAAATTAGACAAGTGTCCATAATTATTTGTTCCGAGCTCCTTCTCAATTTTAAGGAGCCAAGATTTTTCAGTAAATAAATATACTTACATTGGGTGCAAGCCTTCAATGACAAGAATCTTGGGGGGCTTGATGAGCTCAGGAGGGTCCAAGAGACCAGAGACATGGTTGTAAATGGGCTTATCAACAGCTTTCCCTTCCTTGATTGCCTTGACCTGCTCATACATGAGATCAAAGTCGTTGGCTCTTGGGTCAAGAGCAGTCACCCCTTTCTCCTTCCTCCCTGTTCTATCCAGAGAGTGGTAATCATCCAAGCATATGACTGTCGTAGTGTCGCTGATGAGCGTGTTCGAGTCCGGATTGCCTCCCTTGGGTGGCTCCGCGGCTCCTCCGAACACGCTCGTCAGCCTCCTCATGAATGTGCTCTTCCCACACCCTGAGTCTGCTGCTAGACCAATCACCACCGTCTCCTGGCCACCCGCGGAGCATGTTATCAAACTCACACTTGATCTCCTGCTACTACTCTGACTTCTCTTGTAAAACACCACCTGCTGCTTCTGGCAGAATCCAAATCCAAATCCCAGCTGGGTTTGGGTTTTTGATGCTGGTGTGGAAAATGAACATGTTGGGTTCAGTTGGGTTGTCGTGTAAACTGCGCAAATTGCCATTTTGGAGCACTATACTCTCTCTCTCTCCCTCTCCTCTTCTGTTATGGCTTGGTTTTGTGAAGAAGACACAAAAGTTTTATGGGTTTTGAATCTTTTTCTTTTTTTGTTTGTTTTTGGGTTGCAAAGAAAATTGAAAAATTTGGAACACATAAATAAGAGGTTGCTGCTGACAGGAGGTTGTGCTGTCTTGGTGAAATGCTAAGGCCGCTTGCTGACGCGTCTTCTGGTTTGTGGGTTTCTCTGAGTACCCCTGGTTTCGGACAACCTTGGAGCTAATTCTAAGGCTGTAGGATGGGCTTAAACCAGTGGGCAATGGGTATAATTGTCATTTTACACCTTTGCTTTTTCCACTTGCAAAAAATAAAAAAAACTTTTGTGTTTTTATTTAGAAAAGATGAAGTTCCTGATGATGAGGTGATGGCATTATGCGAAAAGAATTGTGATAACCTGAGGGATGGAGAGAAGAAGAAGGCTTGGTGGTCATTTGTTTTAGTTTGGATATTTGATGTGCCACGCGGCATGGCAGTGGTGGCTGGTTGAAGATTAGGGGTGAAGGGTGAGGGATGGAAGAGATATGGAGGAGAGAGAGAGAGAGAGAGAGAGTTAGATAGATAGAGTATGTGGCCATACACTTTAATCTTGGACTGTGCCTTGCTTCTATTATTAATATTTTATTATAAAGTTTTCACAGTTTGGTAAAACCTGCTGCCTTGATTCAGCAGCGACACACACATGATATGATAATATTAAGAAAGTGAATGTATATATATATATATATATATATTTTAGAAACTAAATTATTTTTTTCAAAGAAAATAGTCATGACATGTACAATGAAGCATGCATAGAATTTCATTTTCTTCTTTGTTACTAGACGAGCATTAGGAGACGTCGTACAAGTCAGCAAGGACGAGTTACAATGAGCGACGTCATATGCATATTGAGATTAATCAGTAGCGTTTAAGCGTTAACCAGATAATAAGTTTCATCGTTAAAAAATCATTCGTGCAAAATTTCATCTAAATCAAAGAACATTTAGCCACTTGATTATTGTCGTGATAATTTTGTATTCATTTATTTATTTCTAGATGATTAAATGCTTTTCGATCTGAGTGAATTTTTATTAGAATGATCTTTCAATGATGATTTAAAAAGTAAATTGTTCGCAATCATGAGATAGATTGTGGTGTGGGTCAAAATATTTGGTTAGTTCTATATTAACTTACAAACTACTTAGCGCTTGAGGGATATTGTTAAACTAATAGTCTTGTTTATACCTTATATAATCGACCAATGAGAAGATTACACGTGGAAAGTAAGACGCCATCGGTAAGGAGTGTTCGGCACCCATTACTACTTAACACAATACAAGACCCCTTGCCAGTCATTTCTTGCTGGGACACGTGGAGCCACCACATGCAATATCTATAGTCCCACATCGAAGTTTCACTCAACATGCACACCTCCCAAGACTTATAAAAGTGGGCACAAGTCCTAAAAAGGAGGTAACTGAAACTTTCGGCAATTTAGTCATTACTCTGTTCAGATTACTATACACTTCGTACTTATTCTCATTTAAGTATTGGAGAGCCTTCGGTTGTACCACACCGGTGCCTAAGGGCTTACCGAGCGTTTTCTATCTTGCAGATCGATCGTTCTATCGAGGCCCAGAAGGTACCGAAGGTCAAGACATCACTAAGTTGGGCCCAAAAGTGCTGAACCATTTTTGAGTATCAACAGTTTGGCGCCGTCTGTGGGACAATCCACTACCTCTCTCATATGGGGACTGCATCAATACCATCGTTACTACCAAACAAAGCGAAGCAAGCCTAGCGATGCCCCTATGCACTCCGGTTGGTAATTCGTCGACACACCAAACCACTACCGAAGCCAAACTCTTAGCCTAGGTCACGGCACTTCGGCAAGACATGGCAAAACTGCAAGAACACAACAACATTCTCTCGTCCAAAGTGGACGAAACACAGCAACAGCTCAATCAGCAGCAGATTGAGAATATTCAAACTAATCAACCTTCCCAGAGCTTGCAAACCCCTAATCGATAGAAGAAGGGAAAAAGTGAGGCGAAAGCAGCACCCGCACCTTCTAAGCGCTTAGTCATTCCAGCTCCCAGGAATATGCCCCATCTTCCGCTGAAGGTTTACTCAGATTGTCGCCACCGTCTGACGAATCGACAAGAGAAGAGAGACTGGTCACTGATCTGGATTGAGGCACGCCTCAACGATTCTCGAATGAGGGTTTTGGGCAACAAATCAACCATTCGGCGAGTGCAAGGTCTGGAATCCACTGGGCACTCGGATCCCGAGTACATCCCATCTGGAACTCATAGGACCACCTACCGTTCAGCAAAGCCTACATAATACTCAGAAATCCACTCGAGGAAGTCGCCATGCCGTTCGAAAGACTACGGAATAGAAGAAATCCCTAGTTGAGATCTCGCCATCTGCCTTCTCTTATAAAAGGTTCAGAAAATGGAGGATGACAAAACCCGTTCCTAAGAATAGGGGTGGGGTAAGCTTCAGCCGGGATCGTTCACCGAACGCATTAAAAACTCCAAACATGACAAAGATGTGCAAACCATGCGCATACCGTTCTACACAAGGGTAGAGGACCCCCTGACCCATCTCCACACGTGTCAATCAACCCTAGGATGCAAGGGACTCATCGACGAAGGGCAATGTCTTATGTTCCCGTCTGCACTCACCGGAGCAGCCCTCAATTGGTTTTATCGATTGGAGCCAGGTACGGTGGATTCCTGTGATGAATTGAAACAGATTTTCCTTAACCATCTCATGATCTAGAAGGACCGTTTATACACGGTTGTATACCATTCGACAATGGGATGACGAGCCTCTACGAGAATATGTTGCACGGTTCAACCACGAGTTCTCTAGCTGGCCTATCCAATCGCCCTAGAAAACAGTATGTATGTGGGACGCAATACCCCCAGGTCTTCAGCATCGAAAGCAACTGACACCAGAAGGTGCAGAAGATTCAATGGGAGCCCATCACCTTCTACGAAGAAGAAGAAGAAGGGATCCTCTACCCACATGACGATCCCATGATCATCCGATTTCGACGTGGGGTGAATCCTAGTTGACATAGGCAGTTCGGTCAACGTCATTTTCGCCGATGTATTGGAGAGTTGGGGATAAATGATAGGCATGTCAATCGACAACTCACCCCCTCCTTAGTTCTTTGAGAGATCTAGTCCATCCAGTCGGCAGCATCAGCTTACCTATCGCTTTTGGCGTAGCCCCAAGAAAAATCATGGTGTATGATCAATTTCTCATTGTCGATTGCCCAATAGCATACAACGTCATTATCAGCCGAACGACACTCACTGGAATCAAGGGGCATCTCTCCCCCCATATGTTGCTTATGAAATTTTTGACTTGTTACGGCACGGGGGTAATTAGGAGAGATCAGCTCAGTGCACGGACCAGCTATGCAACGACACTCAAGTCAGCAGCTCCCAAACCCCCCAAGGAAGCACTCTCTATAGTAAGAATGTCGAACGGCACCGAACCGCTAAACGATCCAAGGGACAAGACACCGATGCCAAATGCTCAACGGGTTGAGGATCTGGAGACAGTGGTCTTACACGAGAACCATCCCAAACGATGTGTGAAGATCGATACTACGCTAACAGCAAACCTCCGATCTGAGTTTATCCAATTGTTGCGCCACCATTCTGAAGTATTTGCTTGGTCATACGATGACATGCTCGGTATTTCTCATGAAGTCATCCATCACAAATTTAGTATCTCCCGCGCTTATGAGCATGTGCGCTAGAAGCGACGATTGTATAACTCCAAACGGTATGAAGCCATGAAGATTGAAGTCGACAAGCTTCGAGCCATCAGCTTTATCCGAGAGGCTACCTATCTGGTATGGCTAGCAAACTCTGTAATGGTTTGGAAGGCAAAAGGTGGATGGTGAATGTGCCAAGACTACATAGATCTCAACAAGGCTTGCCCGAAGGACAGTTTCCCATTGCCACGAATAGATCAGCTTGTTGACGCCACTACCGGTCACAAGCTACTTAGCTTTATAGATGCCTCTACAACCAAATTTTCATGCACCCAGCTGACAATGAACATACGGCATTCATAATGGAAAAAGGCCTATACTGTTACAACGTTATGCCGTTCGGCCTGAAGAATGCAGGGGCAACATACTAACGACTGGTTAATCGAATCTTCGCCAAGCATATCGGCAGCAATATGGAAGTCTATGTTCATGACATGTTGGTAAAAAGCTAGACTGCCGATCAGCACCTCCACAACTTATCTCTAATGTTCGGCATTCTGAAGGACTACCGAATGAGATTAAACCCAACGAAATGAGCCTTCAGTGTATCTTCTGGAAAATTTCTCGGCTGCATGATCAGCCAAAGGGAAATTGAAGCAAACCCTGAAAAAATCAAAGCTCTGATAGATATGGAAAGGCCGAAAACATAGAAGGACATTCAGAGCCTCACTGGGTGTGTTGCAGCCTTAACACGATTCATTTCAAAAGCTACCGATAAGTGTGCACTCTTCTTCAAAGCTTTAAAGGGAAGCAAGCAACACATAACTTGGACGGCCGAATGTAACGTGGCATTCCAAGAACTAAAGGACTACAAGAGCAAAGCACCATTGCTATCGAAACCCCTTCCCAGGGAGATCCTCTTTCTTTATCACACACTACGTAAGCTTAGTGTTGATACGAAAGCTAGAAAAGGCGGAACTACTGATCTTTTATGTCAGCCGAGCATTCCAGAACGTTGAGCTTAGGTACCCTCCCCTCGAACAGCTGGCCCTAGCTCTTATCATTTCAGCGTGTAAGCTCCGTCCCTATTTTCAAGCCTATACCATCATCTTCTTGACCAATCAACCGCTACGACAGGTCTTTCAGAAGCCTGAAACATCTGGCCGATTGGCCAAATGGGCAATTGAGTTGGGGGAGTTTGACGTCCAGTTCAAACTTAGGCCGACAGAGAAAGGCCGAGCCGTTGCAGATTTCATATCCGAGTTAAAACCTTTGGCAGCACCAACACGCTCAGATGCCATAACGGCATCGACAGGACAAACCATACCAAACTATAGATGCTTCAATCCTGCAATCCCAATCTAGGTCTTTCATGTCGACGGGTCGACCAATCAACAAGGGTCAGTGCCGGTTGTCTTAACCATGCCCGATGGGGTCAAGATTGAATATGCCCTCTATTTCAACTTCAGAACTTCCAATAACGAAGCCAAATATGAGACCCTCTTAACCGGCCTTTGGCTAGCCAAGGATATGGGCGCTA